TCAAACAGGAGAATTTGATTCCACACCAATTGAAGTTAAGAGATTTTGGACAAGTTCCTAAGAAGAATAATACCACAAAAATAAGGGAGCTTACCATAGTCTTTCCGGCTTACACTTTTTTAAAGAAGAACCTATTTCTCCCCACTGCTAAATTAGCAAAATAGTTGGTATACTATACATAGAGAATTCACCCAAAAATTCCAAAAGAGCATAGCATAGAAATCAGAATAATTGGCGCATGGAGCACTTAAGCGTCACACCGCTAATATGAAGCGTTTGTTTACAATATTGCGAATTAACAATCTGACATTGAAAATATTCTCAATATCCTGCAACACATGTCCGCCACTATATTTGTGTGAATGTATAGTCCGGAACTTAACCTATCTCATACATTACTCGTACTATCACGTTCATTAAATTATAATATATCCAACTGCATACATGTACATGTACATTGGGGAGGATCAAATTGTATAGGGTACAAGAATTTGGAGGGTCACATTAGGCATCTCTGTTAGCTAACTTCTTTACATAAATATTGCCATTGTGATTCAGTATGTAAGATCCCTGTTAGGGAAGGACAAAAGTCAACCGGGGTCTTCTTAAGACACCTTAGAGAAATCTTCATTTTTTTTGAAGTGGTTGGACATTAAACCACCATCACGCCTTCATAGATTGTGAACTGGAGAAAATATCGCAGCTTAGTTAATGGGCTCTTGGAAACTAGGCCGAAGTTCCACTTTTTATAAACTCAGCCATGTGGCTACAGTTGTAATGGTAGACTATATCGGACCATTTCCTCTGGTACCTCTCCCACAACGAGTCAAAATTTTGAATAATTATGTCTCTCATAAAATGCGAAATAAGCATCCAATTATCCTTAAATGTCATACATCCTAATATTTCTATCAATCCAAGATCTGGAGTAAAGATGGTAGATATCGGCTCACCCTCTTTGATTCCTTTCTCACAAAGGGTCAAATATTTAATATTTATTTCTCTCATACAAACTTGATATATCCAAATATTTCGCTAAACTAGTGATCCCGGCTCACTCATTTTCGTACCTACGGTATTTCCTGCATAAATGATCAACATTTCGAATAATCGTAAGCTAATTAAAAATACAGAAAGAAAATAGACTCAAAAGAGCTAAAGAGTTGCTTTGCTTGTCCGAAAGTGGTGAACTGCTGAATTTGGTTTTCTCTGATGAGAAAACATTCGTTGTCCAGCAGTTTGTAAACAAACAAAATGATCGTGTTGACTTGCCAAAGAGGTTAGCTGAAAATGTGCACCGGCCATGGTGATTGTGTGGGCCGCCATAACAGCCGATGGTCGCTCTCCGCTCGTATTAATCGTGGCATCAGAATAAATGCCGAATATTATCGCGAAAATAGTCTTGAGAGTGTATTAAAGCCTTGGGCACGCAAACATTTTGGACGCAGACCTTGGACATTCCAAGAGGACTCAGCACGCGCCATCCCAAAATTGTTACAAAATCAGGTTCCTCGCTTTATTTCCAGCGCACAATGACCATCAAAATCTCCGGATACCAATCCGTTGGACTATTGTGTCAGGAGTATTTTGGAAAGCAATGTTGGCACTAAAAAATACCAAAGTGTCGATAACCTCAAGCAAGCCCTTCGACAGGAATGGGCCAAAATACCGCAGAGCAACATTCGGGCAGCGTGTGACGTTTTCTTTGGCCGTTTGAAGGCCATAATTCGTGCAAAAGGTGACCAATTCGAAAATTTGATGCTATTTCCGACCTTTTTTGCTTCCATTCAATAAAATTTAAAAAAATGTAAAAACTATGGCGTTTGACTTTGTTGCAGTTTTTTATCTCACCCTGTATACCCTACACCACAAGGTGGTCAGTGTATTGTGTCTTTGGGCATTTGTTTGTAACAGGCAAAAGGAAACGAGATAGACCCATAGTTCCTTTTAACGATCTGCAGAGAATCACATTCTGAGTCGATCTATGCATATCCGGCTGTCTATCTGTCTATCCATGTATTTTTGTAAACAAAGTAAAGGTCGCATTTATTGCCCGATCCAGATGAAATTTTGCAGAAGTTATTTTTTTGACCCAAGGTCGAACCCTATTGAAATTGGAGATAATCGGTCAAAATTTTGATATGTCTCCCATATATATCTTCGTCCGATTTTCCTTTTATTGTGCACAAAACGTGTAATACCAGCCCAAATATTATGAAATTTTGCATATACGACCAAACTAAGCCTGGAAATAAGTATGCCAAATTTGATCGAAATTGTTTCAGATATAGCTATATCTCCCATATATATTGTTCATTCATTACATATTTTTGTCCTCCGCAGCCGTAATATGGTCTCTATAACAACGATATTTGGGGAAATTTAAATTTTACAGCACATAAATACCTTTCCCAAATTTTGTCGAGATCGGTTCAGAAATGTATATAGCTCCCATATATATCTTCGTCCGATCTGCCTTTTATTGTGCGCCAAACGTGTAATATTAGCCCAAATGGGATGCAATTTGGCGACCAAATTTAGCATAGAAACAAGTATGTCAAATTTGGTGAAAATCGGTTCAGCTATAGCTATAGCTCCCGTATATATTGTTCATCCGATTTGTTATATTTTTTATTTGTTATTTGACTTTCTTTGATGGTTTGAATATGGCCATGTCATAAAAATTAAGTACCTCTCAAATAAACATGTTAAAATAACAGTCAGATTTTAATCAGTCTTGGAGAAATCTCTATAAAATCCTTAGTTTTATCAAGGTTCAGATTTTCGACCATCGCCTGGTAGGCATTTTGGTCCACCCTAACGTCAATACATTTTAAATTATTTCTGTAAATTGCTGAGCAGCTGAGTGGTTTGTGGCTACTACGTAGTATTTTGTAAAAAGGAACAACAACAACAATAAATACACTCAATGTGAGTTAAAGCAATATCAACATTGACGGAAGGAAAGTACTTATCATCAATGCCCACGTGTATCAAATCAACTACATACATATTTACATATGCGATAAACACGAAAATACGAATACATGTGCATATTTACACTATTTGTTCTGCAGAATATAATTCACATCTGGTCAGTTGTTAGTGCTTCCCCAACAGGGGATGCTCATACATGTCAAGTAGTTTTTGTTGAGGGTGGTAAACTTTATTAAATAAGTCGTAGCCAATTGATTATTGTTGTTTATTATTTTCTATTTTGTTAACCAAAATTCGTTGTATTTTGAATGTATCCGTTGGGATGAAATTCCCCATTAAAATGTACTGGCAATTTTGTTAGATTCATGCTAATGGCTTCAGAGGGTATATGGCAGCAAAATATTGCGAACAATATAAATATAAATCAATAAAAGTAAATCAATAAAAGTTCATGTAAACAAAACCCTTCTGCACTACCATTAGCTTGAAAACCAGTGAAGAAAGGATCATACCAACTGTGAATCTATTCTTTATGTATATTATGGCTTTAGAGAAGTTATAATTAGAAATAAGTAGGAACTAATGTATAGAAGATACATTCAACTCCATCCATCCACCAAATTTGATAAAGCCATTTGTACCCCTCATACCAAGTAACATTGGTATGGAGTGTATGATATAACATTGAGAAGGAATATATTAAGCAAATAACTTTGAATACCCTCCACCATTTCAAAAGAAATTCCGTTGAAAAATACCGCTCAAATGAAAACCGCTATACGGTGGCTATGCGAAGACGTGGTCCTGCATAAGTAATTGGTGTCATAGGTTGTAGTAACGGTTCCGAACTTTATATAAAAGATTTGGAACATTTCCAGGGAATAATGTTGCAAAAATTATGAAAAACCCGAACGTGGACCTACCTAGATAATTCTCTTCTAAGGGGTAAAGTACTCAGAAGGGACCCCTTGTGTGGATTTTAAGACAATGCCATTGAAAAATTTGGCTGAAATCATAAAAATACCGAATATCGGGGGATACCATTATATGGGGGCTATACGATATCTTCGAACTTGACCTGCCTGCAGGCAAAAGACAGATCTGTGCAAAATTTTAGCTTCATATTTTAATTAGTTTTTAGCGTGATTACAACAAACGGATAACGGACGGACAGACAGGGCTTAATCGTCTTAGAATTTTACGCGGATCAAAAATATATATACTTTGTTTATTTCGATGAGTTATAAACGGAATGACGAACTTAATATACTCTCCATGTCATGTATGGTGGAGGGTATAAGTTCCGGAATTGGAAATTCCGGAAATTCCGTTGCAAAGTACTGCTAAAATCATCAAATTACCAAGTACCGAGAAGGAGGTACCGTTATATGAGGCCTATTCGAAGACGTGGACCTGCATGGATAATTTTCGGTAACAGGCTGTAGCATCCATTAGGAACTTTAAGGACGAAATTTTTCGGTGAAAAGCGTGACACAAATCATCAAAATACCGAATATAGGCAGATACAGTTATATGAGAACTTTACCAAACCTAAATTGACAGTTCTATGACAAGATGTTTCTTACATAATGGGGACACATGCAGCCAATTTACAACAAATTCGGATTAGAATTTCGACCAAAACTCCCAAAAACCTTAAATCTGTCGATACAGTTATATGGGATTTTTACCTTAACGTGGTAGTCCTGTAGATTATGGCAAAAGTCCTGTAGAACTAACACATCTGAGTAAAATTTCATCAACCAATTTTATTTCGTTCGAAAGCTAGAATGAGTTCCACTGACGGACATCGACATAGAATTGTATGCGGATCATTAATTCGGGAAAACCTTTATCTGAAATGACATATGAAACTTAAGCATCACATCCATGATATTTTTATGAACCTACCCCAACTGCATCCATTACCTCATGTATTGAAATTTGCATTCCGTTCCGAACTGTAATTTATGTCTACATAAAAATATGCATTACTAACATGTTTCGTTTTCCATATTTGTAATAATTTCTAATAATTCTATAATTTCCCCTTCCTATTGCAGATGGTCATATGGTATTCTATTGTATGAAATTGCGACACTGGGTGCAACACCATATCCCTCGATACCAACAAATCGTTTGTTACATTTGCTCAAAACCGGATATCGCATGGAGAAACCTAAAAATTGCGGTCAAAATTTGTAAGTATAAGTATTGCATTTAATTTAAATGCATTAATAATGCTATTTATGTACAATTTCGCATTCGTTATTAAAGTAATGGATTATTAAATAAAAAATATTTACTAATTGAAAAAAAAATAGAATAACTGAATTGTTAATGAGAAAAAAGTAGGAAAAAGTTTCATCTTTCCTCAAGATACTCTCGGAAAATATAACCAGTAATATTTTTATATTGAAGTATCTTTAAACTACAAATACCAGTAAGACCATTTGGATAATGCTGTTAAACTTTTCAAAAGACATAAAGTGGCTGAAGGAGTTGTATGGGGGCCATACCAAAAAGGACTGTTATCTGTTGCAAGTCCTAAATGCCAAATTTGAAATACATAATATCAGTGGGAACCATTATATGGCGGATATAGTAAAACATAGACCTAGATATTTAATGTTCTGCCACTGGAGCAAAAACCCATTAAGAACTACAAATACTAATTTTTAGACGAATCCGTGGATAATGTCACAAAAATCATGAAAATACCGAATATCGGGAGGTACCGTTATATGGGTGCTATACGAAAATATGGACCTATACATACAATGTTCTGAACCCGAAACCAGAACCCATTATTACCTACATATATCAATTTCTAGACAAATCCGTTGAAAAATGTTGCAAAAATCACGAAAATGCCGAATATCAGGAGGTTATATGGGAGCTATATGAAAATACAGGGTGAGATGAAAAACTGCAACCAACTTCAGACTGCTGGCATATCCGAAGCTGTTAAAATTATTTCAGTGACAGCGCATTATATTGTTTGCAAGCGTACAAAAGAATTTTGTTCGTACCATCGCTCGAATCGTTGGCCACCAAAATCTCCGGATACCAGTATATATATATCCTTTGATACAGTCAAAACGTGCATAATGAAAATAACGCTTTTAGACCCTAGGTCTTTTTGGGCTAAATCCGTTTCAGGACATTTGGAGTTGATCTAGCGATCCCTCCATCCATCCGTCTGCATGTCTGTCTGGCTGTCTGGTGCGCACGATAACTTTCGAAGGGAGTATCCGATTTGGTTCAAACTTTGTGCATCGGAATATTATTATCAAACTTAAATCTAGTTTGGAGATGAGCAATATCGGTCCTCTCTTTTTGGTACCTCCCCAACAAAAGGTGGAAGTTTCCAAAAAATATATTTTTTGCACAGAAAGAGAAACGATAATCGAATTTTGCTCCAGCTTTGCAAATCTTAACATTCCCATCAGTGCTAGGTCAATATTGACAATATGGCTCCACACCATCAAGTACCTCCCACCCACAAAGGGTCAAAATTTTGAATAATTATAACTTTATAAAATTTGATGTGACAGCCCGATTTACTTCAAATTACACACATCACAATATTTTCCGTTGTGAAGATTGAATATATGAGTCCAATCCTTCTGGTACCTTCTCCACAAAGAGTAAAAATTTTGAATATTTATGAAGCTCATAAAACGATACATCTCAATATTTCCATCAACACAAGATCTGTTATAAAGATGGTAGGGAAAGGACCATTTCTTCTGGTACCTTCCCCACATAGGGTTCAAGATTTTGAAAACAAAACGCTCAAAGAAAGCGAAATAAACATCCAACTCTCTTCGAATTTCACACAAAAAAAAAACTTTTTTGCTGACACAAGATCTGTTGTGAAGGAGATATATCTGCGAACCCTTCGGGTACCTCAGCCATGAAGGGTCACAATTTTCAATAATTTCATCTGTCATAACTTGCGAAACCAGTCAGCCATTCTTTACAATTTGATATATCTAAATATTTCTCTCAACCACAAACCCGAGATTTATATAGAACTAGCTGAACCCGGTGCGCTTCGCTACCCCTTTTGATTTTATATGCATTCAAAATTTTATTTACGAATATATGTTGGTTAAAAAAAAACAAATTTAAAATTTAAAAAAAATTATTGCACTAATTTAATGCCTAAATAACCAAAACTATTAGAAAAGCAGTAATATGACATACATACACGAAGGGTTTGTCCTTCGGATTTATTTATTTATTTCATAGCAAATACCAAGCGTGCAGTAAACTGCAATCTTTTGAAGTTGAGTGGCATTTCTATTGCAATTAGCGAATTCGAGATAGCAACATACTTCGCCGTAATAAGCGTATTTCAAATCAATTGTTGTTTTGTTTTTTTGTGTTAGCCTCAGACGTCGTGGGTCAATGGTTCTTATTAAAATCATATCCCAATCTGATCCGATTTAAATATAATTTAAAAAAAAATACTTTTACACCAAACTCCGCCACACCTTTCATATTTCATTGAAATTGGTGCATCAAATATTTGAAATCGGCCGATAATATATATAGGGGAGCTATATCCAAATCTTAACTAATTTCCAGTTAATTTGTCACATTTATTATTGTAACCAAATTCCGCCACACATTCTGAATTTCATTGGTATCGGTCATATATATCATGTTTGGTGCATATCATATATGATATCCAAACCTCAACTGATTTCAATATAATTTGGCAATTTTTTCTGGTGCCAGATTTTGTCTCTCTCGCTTTGGGTGCATCAAATGTGTGAAATCGGCTGAGTATATATATGGGAGCTATAATCACATCTGAGCGTATTTGAATATAATTTGTCAAAATTATTTTTGTACCAAATTTAGCCACTCATGCCGAATTTCATTGGAATCGGAAATACGTATCGTGTTTTGTGAATCAAATATGTGAAATCGGCGGAAAATATACATGGGAGCTATATCCAAATCTGAACGGATTTTAATATAATTTGACTAATTTATTTTCTAATCAAAATCCCGTTACATATTCCAAATTTCTTTGGAGTCGAACATACATATCGTGTTTGGTCCACCAAATACATGAAATCGGCCGAAAATGTATATGGGAGCTATATCCAAATCTGAACCGATTTCAATATAATTTGGGAAATCAATTTTTTAGATAAAATCTATCACACGTTTCAAATTTCATTGAAATTGGGGATACATAGCGTGTTTGGTGCATCAAATGCTTGAAATCGGCCGAAAATATATATGGGAGCTATATCCAAATCTGAACCGATTTCAATATAATTTGACAAATTTATTTTCGGATTAAATCCCGTCACACATTCCAAATTTCATTGGAATCGAACATTCATATTGTGTTTGAGGCATCAAATGAACGAAATCGGTCGAAAATATATATGGTAGCTATATCCAAATCTGAACCGATTACAATATAATTTGCAAACTTATTTTTGTTCCAAATTCCGTTACGTATTCCAAATTTGGAGACTGTATCTTCTACCAATCAATAGATATGTGAATATAAAATCTAAATTTTTGGGAGGTACCTCCGATTCTGATGCTATATCTCCAGTTCCAAGTGGAAATTCAAAAATGTATATAGCCTATGTTACTTTCAGGCGATGTTGTAGTATATATGGAAATTTTCTGGAAAATCTATTCAGCGGTTTTCGAGTCCATAAATTACAAACAAACAAACAAACAAACAAACAAACAAACATACAAACATTTTCCTCTTTTATAGATATAGATTTACGTTTTTGCATCAGCTTTGATATAAATGTTCGATTTTCTTGTATTTTGCCCATAGCAATATTTTTACCTGTATAAGATGAAGTATGAAAATGGAATACTTCGGTCGTCTATATCTGGTACATCACGCACAATTTAACATTTTCTACAAATTATCACATATTTTGTATAAAGTTAAGGAAGTAATCGATATATTTCAAAGCTGGCATACCATATTTATTTAGGTCCGGTACGAAATGGACAAAATTGACCGATTCTATTCCTACTCCATAGAGGATCAACAATTTGAATAATCATAACATAAGTCAAAATATATTTAAACAATCGAACATTGTGTGTTCGTGTATTTGTTGCAAATTTTGCATATGAAATTTAAATTTTCACATATGGGGTTTTTAAATATCCACATGTGTGTCCAATACTTGAATTTCGTGTTATATATACACAGATTGTAAGATTACGATTTCGTTTAACAGTTCGGTTTTATTTCCATTAGTGATAGAATTTGTTATTGCCTATAAGGTCAGTCTACTTTGTTAACAAATATATATTCAATTAACATGCATTTCGTAGAAAAAAAAGCAATGGCATCATTATTTACGTAGTTATCATTGAATGTTCACTTAAATCAAAACCACAAATCTGAAATAATTGCACCGACTTAATTTCGAACATATATATATGCGTGTTTACGTGTGTGTCTCTCCGCTGTTAAAAATTGCAGGAAATATATGAAAGAAACTCATTACACTGTGCAAAACATACAAGTAAGGAAAGGTCAAGAGTCGGGCGGGAAAGACTGTGTGACACCCTATACCATTATGCGTATATAGTAGATCCCCTGTAACAAAAAAATATGAACCCTATTTGAATGTGTATCATGGGCTTAGAGTAGTCACAATTTGGGGTCTATATCCAACTCTGAATCGATTTTCAATAATTTTGACGTAGGCTTTTGTACCACTAGTACCAAATAATATTACAAATATTTATTGGAGCAATAGATATACCGGATCGAGTTTCACCAAATGGAAAAATTCGACTGAATATAAAAAAAAATCTGTTCAATTTGGGCTGATATTGCATATATGGTGGACAATAACCGTAAAATCTGATGAAGATGTATATCAAAGGTACATAAAAATCTAAACCGATTTCGATAAAATTTGGCAGAATTATTTTCGAGCTGTATCTTATGTCCGGTATCAAATAACATTGTTGTGGAGTGTATATTATGAAACATATATATGGGAGCTATAACTATATCTGAACCGATTTTCACCAAACTAGGCTGAATTGCTAGGATACGCCACAATTCACACCATTTGGACTGATATTAGCCATTTGGTGCACAATAAACCTGAAATCGCATAAAGGTATATATGGGAGTTATATCCAAATCTGAACCGATCTTAATAATATTTGGTAAAGGTATTTCTGGGCTGTCTATGTAATCTTGTACCAAAGATCAATGTTGTGGAGTGCATATTACGCATGTGAGGGACTGTAGACCCCAAATCGGATGAAACATGTATATGTATGTATATGTAGGTATAGCTATATCTGAACCGATTTTCACCAAATTTGAAGTACTTGTGTCTTGGATGAATTTAGTCGGAATTGCCAAGATTCAGGTCATCTGGGTTGATATTAGCCCAATAAACCTGAAATCGGGTTATTGATAAAATTTGGCAGAGGTATTTCTGGGCTGTATTTGATAACTGGTACTAAAGATCAATGTTGTGGAGTACATATTACGCATGTGAGGGACTTAAGACCGCAAATCGGATGACATATACATATATATATATATATATATATATATATATATATATATATATATATATATATATATATATATATATATATATATATATATATATATATATATATATATATATATATATATATATATATATATATATATATATATATATATATATATATATATATATATATATATCTATATCTATAAAAGAGGAAAATGTTTGTACGTTTGTTTGTTTGTTTGTTTGTAATTTATGGACTCGAAAACTGCTGAATAGATTTTTCTGAAAATTTCCATATATACTGCAACATCGCCTGAAAGTAACATAGGCTATATACATTTTTGAATTTCCACTTGGAACTGGAGATATAGCATCAGAATCGGAGGTACCTCCCAAAACTTTAGATTTTATATGCACATATCTATTGATCGGTTAAAGATACAGTCTCCAAATTTGGAATGTGTAACGGAATTTGGAACAAAAATAAGTTTGCTAAATTATATTGTAATCGGTTCAGATTTGGATATAGCTCCCATATATATTTTCGACCGATTTCGTTCATTTGATGCCTAAAACACAATATGAATGTTCGATTCCAATGAAATTTGGAATATGTGACGGGATTTGATCCGAAAATAAATTTGTCAAATTATATTGAAATCGGTTCAGATTTGGATATAGCTCCCATATATATTTTCGGCCGATTTCATGTATTTGGTGGACCAAATAAGATATGTATGTCCAAATTTAATGAAATTTAAAATAAGTAACGGAATCGGGAGCAAAAATGAATTTTTCAAATTATATTGAAATCGGTTCAGATTTGGATATAGCTCCCATATATTTTTTCGACCGATTTCATGTATTTGATGCACCAAACACGCTATGTATCCCCAATTTCAATGAAATTTGAAACGTGTGATAGATTTTATATAAAAAATATTTATTTCCCAAATTATATTGAAATCGGTTCAGATTTGGATATAGCTCCCATATATATTTTCGGCCGATTTCATGTATTTGGTGGACCAAATAAGATATGTATGTCCAAATTTAATGAAATTTAAAATAAGTAACGGAATCGGGAGCAAAAATGAATTTTTCAAATTATATTGAAATCGGTTCAGATTTGAATATAGCTCCCATATATATTTTCGACCGATTTCATGTATTTGATGCACCAAACACGCTACGTATCTCTAATTTCAATGAAATTTGGAATCTGTAGGGGAAATTAAAACGAATATACATTTGTCAAATTATAGTAAAATCGGTTCAGATTTGGATATAGCTCTCATATATATTTTCGACCGATTTCGTTCATTTGATGCCTAAAACACAATATGAATGTTCGATTCCAATGAAATTTGGAATATGTGACGGGATTTGATCCGAAAATAAATTTGTCAAATTATATTGAAATCGGTTCAGATTTGGATATAGCTCCCATATATATTTTCGGCCGATTTCATGTATTTGGTGGACCAAATAAGATATGTATGTCCAAATTTAATGAAATTTAAAATAAGTAACGGAATCGGGAGCAAAAATGAATTTTTCAAATTATATTGAAATCGGTTCAGATTTGGATATAGCTCCCATATATTTTTTCGACCGATTTCATGTATTTGATGCACCAAACACGCTATGTATCCCCAATTTCAATGAAATTTGAAACGTGTGATAGATTTTATATAAAAAATATTTATTTCCCAAATTATATTGAAATCGGTTCAGATTTGGATATAGCTCCCATATATATTTTCGGCCGATTTCATGTATTTGGTGGACCAAATAAGATATGTATGTCCAAATTTAATGAAATTTAAAATAAGTAACGGAATCGGGAGCAAAAATGAATTTTTCAAATTATATTGAAATCGGTTCAGATTTGAATATAGCTCCCATATATATTTTCGACCGATTTCATGTATTTGATGCACCAAACACGCTACGTATCTCTAATTTCAATGAAATTTGGAATCTGTAGGGGAAATTAAAACGAATATACATTTGTCAAATTATAGTAAAATCGGTTCAGATTTGGATATAGCTCTCATATATTTTTTCGACCGATTTCATGTATTTTATACACCATGCACGATATGTATGTTCGATTCCAAAGAAATTTGGAATATGTAACGGGATTTTGATTAGAAAATAAATTAGTCAAATTATATTAAAATCGGTTCAGATTTGGATATAGCTCCCATATATATTTTCCGCCGATTTCACATATTTGATGCACAAAACACGATACGTATTTCCGATTCCAATGAAATTCGGCATGAGTGGCTAAATTTGGTACAAAAAAAAATTTGACAAATTATATTCAAATACGCTCAGATTTAATTATAGCTCCCATATATATACTCAGCCGATTTCACATATTTGATGCACCCAAAGCGAGAAAGACGAAATCTGGCACCAGAAAAAATTGCCAAATTTTATTGAAATCAGTTGAGGTTTGGGTATAGCTAACATATGTGTGGTTACAATAATAAATGTGACAAATTAATTGGAAATTAGTTAAGATTTGGATATAGCTCCCATATATATATTCTCGGCCGATTTCACGTATTTGACGCACCAATTTCAATGAAATATGAAAGGTGTGGCGGAATTTGGTGTAAAAGTAATTTTTTTAAAATTATATTTAAATCGTATCCGATTGGGATATGATTTTAATAAGAACCATTGACCCACAACGCCTTAGGCTAACACTAAAAAACAACACAACAATTAATTTGAAATACGCTTATTACGGCGAAGTATGTTGCTATCTCGAATTCATTAATTGCAACAGAAATGCCACTCAACTTCAAAAGATTGCAGTTTACTGCACGCTTGGTATTTGCTATGAAATAAATAAATCCGAAAGACAAACCCTTCGTGTATATATGTCATGTTACTGTTTTTCTAATGGTTTTGTATATTTACGCATTAAAGTAGTGCAATTTTTTTTTTTTTAATTATAAAATTTGTTTTTTTTTTAACCAACATATATTCGTAAATAAAATTTTGAATGCATATAAAATCAAAAGGGGTAGCGAAGCGCACCGGGTTCAGCTAGTATATATATATATATATATATATATATATATATATATATATATATATATATATATATGGGAGCTATATAGCCGAGCCGAACTTTGAATACCCAATCAGGGGTTCCGTTACATGGGAGCTATACGATATCGTGGACCGATATAGCCCATCTTCGAACTTGACCTGCCTGCAGACAGAAGACAGATCTGGGCATCATTTAAGCTTCCTATCTCAATTCGTTTAGACTGTAGCGTGATTACAACAGACGGACAGACGGGGCTAAATCGTCTTCGAATTTTACACTGATCAAGAATATATATACTTTGTTGGGCCTAAAATTATTATTCCGATGAGTTACAAACGGAATGACGAACTTAATATACCCTCCATACTATGTATGGTGGAAGGTATAAGAAGATGACACGTGATAGAAAACCACGGCAGCACCCATCAACGCCAACTTAAACAAGTAAAAAAAGATTAAGTTTGGTCGGGTCGAACTTTTAATACCCTCCACCTTAGGGTAATGGAATCATTAGAACCAATTATGACCCACAAATACCAATTTTTAGACAAATCCGTGAAAAATTTTACAAAAACCATCAAAATACCGAATATCGGGAAGTACCGTTATATGGGGGCTATACCACAGCGTGGACTTATACATGCAATGTTTCGCCACCCTAGCTATAAACCATTATGACCAACAAATACCAATTTCCAGACAAATCCGTGAAAAATGTGGCAAAAATCATCAAAATTCCGAATATCGGGAATGACAAAGTTTATATACCTTCCATAGAATGGTGGGGGTAAAAGACAGTCAGAACCGCTTTCGTATCACCTCGAAGTAATGCTCATAATACTATAATTCCCCATACAATCTATTGTGATTAGGGTTTCGAATAATAATGATTGCCAAAAATTGATAAGGAACTCATTATTAGATAATGAAAGTATTTGCTTTAAATTAGAATCACCTGACCAACTTTCAAAATATGATCTGCTTCCGGGAATAAAATTAAATTCTACAAAAGAAATACAATTTTTCTTTAATCAAGCACCTCACAGACAAGCAAATAACCAGCTGCATGAATCATTTCGATTCTGTTCAACTATTATGGCGTCGTATTGTATATTTCTCTCTTTACTTATTTTTTTGAGCAAATATTATTTATTCCTCTTTTTCACTTTTTTTCCTTCTTTGCAGCTATGATTTAATGTACTCCTGCTGGAACAGCACCCCAAATGAAAGACCAACTTTTACTGAAATCGTAAAAAAGTTAAACGCAATGCTGACTGAACAGCAGACAATAGCTGAACCACAAGCACAAACAGTTTATCCTTCACAAGGTCTAGCTGAAGAAAAAATCCCATTCAACGACGATGACAATAGAGAAGAGGATAACGACAATAGCTCGCGACAATGGCGTGAATTGGAGAGGCGAGAGAGGTAAGTTAACAAGGAAAACATTTACTAATGAGCTAATATATGAATTTAGCTGGGATATAATATTTCAAACATACTTACACCCTTGCTTACGAACGAACGTGAGCGTGTTGGAATGTACACAAGTTGGTAATACAGAATATATGTGTGTGTATGTTATTTTTGTACGAATGAAATTAATATGAAGGGGGGGCTACACAGGAAAACTTGTAAAACAATTTTTTATCCTTGGAGTTTTCATAATATTGAAAAGCCATATAACATAAGGCAGAAGACAAAAATTAAAGAACGATCGTCGGAATTTTTGTTGTAGAAAAAAAAATCAAAAAGTGTAAAAATTGTCTTTTGTTTTCGAATCCGTATGCCTAATAGGATTCGTTAAATTTCTGGTTTAAAAGCACAATTTTTTGAATTCCTTAGTTTTGTAATGAATTGAACAGAATGGTGCAACATGAACACCCCCACCTCCACTTCTGGTGCGATCCTTCTTCAAAACGCTGTAACCATTGAAACGTCGTAGACTACAATTTTCATTGAGCTTCATAAAATCCGCCATCTCATCAATTTTACATCGCCGTCCGTTGTGGCTGAATTGCAAGACTGTATCGTTATCCGGAATTGGAACAGCAACATGTGTCGTTAGGTGCTGCGGCAATGGTTGCTGTTCAGGAGACTGAAAAAGAGACTGTAATCTCTCTACCGTATTAGACCGGATCAATTCCTAAAATTCACCCATCCTCTGCATCCATTAAATCGCATCTGTGGTGGATGATGTTTTGACAAACCAAACAGAATGGTCCGGGATTTTTGCTCAATCCCGGCCATGACTAAAAGAATTCGAAGCAGACATTCCGGGATGTATTGCTCGTATAACAGAAAAATGAACAAACACTAACATGCACACACTGAGTCATCCCGCTGCTCAGGTTTCGTGTTTTGTTTCACAGTCAATCATTTTCAGTTTGGTCTATAATTTATAAAATGATCGTCTTACAATCGAACAACGCTTGAATTTTATTATCAAAATGCGTGCTCTGTTTAGAAAGAACCTCGCACGATTCTTCCATTTTATTGTCTATAGCGAAGAAGGTCATTTTTGGCTCAATGGGTGAATATCAGCCAGGAGCTACCACTGATCCACACCAATCCCACGGCAGCGGGTTCTACGACACCGGATTGACCCGAAACAACAACTCTCCAGTTTCGGCCAGCGGCTGCCAACCCAGTGTATACATGTTCGTGTTTGTTTATTTTTCTGTATTGGGAGCAGCACATCCCGGAATGCTTGCTCCGGATTCTTTTGGTCCGTGCCGGGCTTAAGGAAAACCCCGGACTAAGGTTCTTACGGTTTGCCAAAACACCATCCACCATAGATCAGTCTCGGTGCGATGTAATGGATGCAGAGGATGGATGCATTTTAGGAATTGTTCCGGTTTAACATGGTTGCGAGACTATAGCGATAGGGACTATGTTGCATCGTGCTGTACCAACGTAGTCCCCAATGAGTCCACGACCTCGTCGTCAACTTCCGAGTCGTCGTCGGTGTAAGGAACTCCCCCGTAGTCTCCAGAACAGCAACCTTTACCGCAGCACCTAACGCCACATCGGTGCAGGAAACCAAGCTCAATGAAAATTGTAGCTTACAACGTTGCAATGGCTACAACGTATTCAGGAAAGATCGCACCAGAAGTGGAGGTGGGGGATTAGCGTTCCTGTTACACCATTCGGTTCAATACAGACCTATCTAGCTTGAGCTAGTCTCTAGTGACCCATACATGGAATGTATGGGGGTAGCAGTCAAGTGTGGAACTGCCGAGGTAGAGGTGCTTAATGTGTATATCCCGCCGGTTAATAGCTGTGAACCGTGTTACTTGCCTAATATAAGCCCACTTTTGGAAGGCAATAACCGCCTGGTACTAGGGGATTTCAATGCCCACCATGAGTTGTGGCATTCCGTCCTAGGTAATGACCAGAGGGGATCAGCGTTGGCAGAGCAGATTGACTGCTCCACATTTTGCACGGTAAACAAGGATGGCCCCACCCGAATAAGAGGAGAGTTTCACAGTTCGCCAGATTTAACCATTGTGTCACCCCGTCTGATAAATCATGTGACTTGGCAACCCGGCATTTCTCTTGGCTCCGATCATCTCCCGATAATCGTCTCCATCAGCAGATCGCCCGACTTCATAACCTCTGAACCCCGCACTCTCCTTAACCATGGGAAAGCCCACTGACCTGAGTTCAGAGAGTTCCTCAACCTTCGCTTTAGAGAACTGCCCAATCCTTCTGATGTTCGGGTAGCTGAAAGGATTTTTCCTGACAAAAGCTGCAGCCGCTCGCTATATACCTGCTGGTCGAATACCCGAAGTAAGACCAAATTTCCCAGCAGAGGCACCGGGTTAACGAATGAGCGTGATGAGCTCCGACGTACCAACCCTACTGATCCCAGAGTCAGTGAACTGACAGTGGAAGTCAACAGGTTGGTACAGGAACATAAGCGGAAGAAGTTGCTAGACCATCTGGAGTGTTGCAACATTGGAACCGATTTGAGTAAACTGTGGGTAACGGTAAAGTCACTCTCGAACCCTGGGATGATTTGACAGCAGTCACATTTAACGACGTAACTGTGACTGATCCGAAGAGGTGCGCTGACCATTGTAACCGCCAATTTGTCAAGCACCCCGAGAGTGATAGGGCGAGGCGAAGAGTACTACGTCGTATAAGAGCTCTTCCCCCCGAGGATGTACATTCACAGTGATGATGGGTGATGTTGCGAATGTCATGCGAAACGCTAAGTCACCTAAAGCGTTGGACCCGGTTGGAATATAAATGGTAATGTTGAAGCAACTGGATACACCGGGAGTTGAGTATCTACCAAAGTCCTTAACTTGTCGTTAGCCACCCACATAGTTCCCGAAGCCTGGAAAATGGGCAGGGTGGTCCCGCTACTGAAGCCTGGCAAGGATGCCAGCAAAGAAAATCATACAGGCCAATTTCGCTTTCGTGGAGCTTGCCGCCTTCTTCTATGCGAGGAATATGAAAATATCCGCCACTAAATCGACGGCCACACTATTTACCACATGGACTGCTGAGATGAGAACACAGCTGAATGTGCAGGTCGAGGGGCACATAATTCCGACCACCAACTACCCCAAAATCCTTGGGATCACATCCGATAGCATGCTCAAGTCTTTCGCGCAAGCCACAGCTATTTGCGATAAAATGAAAAGTAGGAACAAGGATATAAAGCGATAGGTCGGTCTGTGGTAAGCTATGCGGCTCCAGTGTGGTCGGCGAATACTAGTGCAACGCAGTGGAAAATTATTCAGACCTGCCAGAATACCGCCCTGAGAACTGCAACAGGGTGCCTCCTCATGACTCCTGTGGACCATTTACATGAGGAGACGAAGGTTCTTCCATTACGTCAGCATAATCATATGCTTTCTTTGCAGTACCTGTTTGGGTGTTATCGTAGGAGTCACCCTAACCACCATATGGTGGATAGAACTCCCCCACCCAGGCGTGTCAGGAAGGATCTGCATGATCTAGAGAGAGAGAGGTCCAGCGATATAAGAGAGAGCCCCTAGATCATGAAGCTTATCAAGCGGGTCTGAGTAGCATTCATACTGATGCAGTCGCAGAGGTAGTTAATAATTACAGTATGAATGCCATACTCGGACTCCACCCCCCATCCATTACAGCTGAAGAACGTCGGCTGCCTAGGCAAACCAGGGTAGTTTTGGTCCATCTTCATCTACAGGATGGTGCAGCCGTCTCAATTCGTATTGGGCACGAATTGACGAAGATGTGCGGAACGCCTGCCCATCGTGCGATACACTCCCGCACAATACGCTGCACCTGTTTAATTGCCAAACCTACCCAACTCCGTCCAGAGGATCTATGGCTACAGCTAAGTCTATGGGGCATACTTGTTTCGCCACCGGGGCTAGAACCTTATTAACTACAAATATTAATTTTAGCACAAATTCGTTGAAAAATGTGACAAAAATCATCAAACTACCGAAAATGGGCTCCGTTATATGGGGGCTATACAAAAACGTGGATCTATACATACAATGTTTCGAAATCGGAGTTAGAACCTATTATGACCAACAACTACCAAATTTTAGACAAATCCGTGGAAAAAATCATAAAAAAACCGAATATCGGGGGGTACCGTAATATGGCGGCTATATCAAAACGCGGACCGATAAATCTCATTTTTAATGCCAACCACCCAATACAAATTCTTTTGCTAAATTTTGGAGCTTTACGTCAAAAAATGTGGGCTGTATCGTGATTTCAACAGACGGACACCGCTATCTCGACTTAGAATTTTATGCTGATTATGAATATATATATACTTTATGGAGTCTACGACGAATATTTAGGGATGTTACAAACGGAATGACAAAGTTAATATACCCTCCTTTTCTAGATGGGGGTTATAAAAAGCTAAGTGCAGTATAACTGTTGACATAAAATGAGGGAATTTCGTTTTGGCGAGTTCTGACACTGGATTTGGCGATGGTAGCAGAAAAAATAAGACAGCCCTGGTGCGCTACCGTGAGCTTATATCCAACTTTTGTGGCCCTATATACAAGAATGACATGTGGTTTCAACAAGACAGTGCCACACGCCACACAGTACGAGTTCGGTGAACATTTTAATTTTTTTTTTTAATTTTAAATAAAACACAGATATTTGAAAAGAATCGTGAAATCTAGGCGACCAATTGTGGTTTCCAAAACGCGAAATAACACGACCGGAAAATAACGGATACAGCAATTATTTTATTTTCTCTTGATTTCTTCAATTCTAGGCAAGAAAAAATTTATTATCATTTCACAATACTGAACACCATCAATTGTCTGCCCTCGACGAGATCATTTTCAAAAAACAGGTCCAATGATTACGTTAAGGATGCATTTGCTTTTCGTGTATCACCCGAGGAGTTTCCTCCTCCCAAATGCTATCAGTCTGCCTATTAAAGAAGCCATCAACATGGAAATGGGCCTCGTCTCTGAAAAAAATGTTTATCGGCAAAATCAGCATTTTCATGTTGTTTCTCCAACACTCAATCTTCGATGTCTATGGTCAACTGGCTTCAGTTCCTGGGTCAATTGTCAAAATTCGCTGCATAGTAGATTTAAGGATACCAATTTACTGAGCTCAGTGTCAAATTAAGGTGGATGGAGTTTGAGCAACGTCATCACGTACAGATGTGATATTTTCAGTCGATCAAACTGGTCGACTAACAGACTCAGTATATGTAATAATAAAGAATAATTTTGTTGTTGCAAAATGGTCAGGCTTAATCCCATTATTGTTGCTTTTATAAAAACGACGTTTGTTTATTAGTGGAGAAAAAAATTTAATAAAAACAAGTTAAAAAGTATCAGGCGGTTTTTTTTCGACAGACGCATACCCTCACCCAATGTTCCTGTAAACCGGGATCAATTAAAAGACGCAACGTCTTTACCATTTGAGCGTTTGTAAGACACTGAATTTATTTATTAAAAATATTTCTTAAGAACTACTTATGATAATATGACTTAATCTAAATGATCATTAAGTGTAAATGAGAGAGAGAGAGAGAGAGAGATAGATACCAACCCTACACATGCATATGCACTATGCCACCATAAACCTTAGGGGGAGGTCATACACACGCATAGCTATCTCACATGTGGCAAGCAAACATGCTGCACTTGCTTATCAGTCTGAGTAAAGATTACATCCCATAATCTAACTCCACCATAACACATGCAGCAATTGAAAATTCTGTATTATTTATTTCTAACTCGAAGGTCTGCTCACCACATGTTCTTATCTTTTTTAATGTGGACTGTATTAAGATCCCAGTTTAACAAATCCCTCTCATCTAAACTAGGTAGCCCCGCTATTCTCTTTTATTATAAAAACATGTTCACTTATCCGTGAACAGTTCCATTATTTCAATATATTTTGACTTCTGTTATGATTATACAAACTGTTGAGCCTATATGGAGTAGGTTTCATATTTTCTATTTCATTTTTAACTAAATATGATATAAATATTGCGACATACCAGGTTTCGACTATAACGAGTACTTCCTTCACTTTATATGAGATATGTGATAATTTTTAAAATATTTTGAAATGTGCGTGAGGTATCAGATATAGTGGACCGAAGTATTCCATTTTCATACTTAATCTAATACAGATAAAAATATTGGTATGTGAAAAATTACAAAAAATTCGAACATTTGTATGCAATTCTATGCGAAATTATAAATTCCGATAATTTCCATATTCATATCAAATTTCTGGTTGAGAGAAATATTTAGATATAGCGCAAAGTTATGACAGATATAAATATTTCAAATTGACACCCTTTGTGGGTGAGGTACCAAAGGGGTTGGTACCAAAAGGGGCTGGCATCTTCACAACAGATTTGGAAAAATTATTGGATGTTCGAAATTTGAGAGAGTTGTATTTATGTGTGTTTTGCTTTTCGAAATGTTGAACCCTTTGTGGGGGAGGTTTCAGAAGGAGTTCGTCGATATATCCGATATTCATAGCAGATCTTATGTTAGTAGAAACCAGTAAAGAAAGTCTTAAAGTCGACTCTATGATACCGTACACCACTTTGCTAATTTAGTAGAGCTCCGCATAACAATTAAAAGTTTTTATGGGAGAATTCAATCATACACGCTATGATTATAATTATTATTTAAAGTTCAAAGGACTAAATATGCTGAAGCATTTGTATCTTTAAATTCATACTCGTATTGCCCATTTGGTGCACAATTAATTTGAAATCGGATAAAAATATATATGGGAGCTATATCCAAATCGGAACCGATCTCCATAAAATTTGGCAAAGATATTTCTGAGCTGTATTTGATGTATTTCCTTGAATATCGTTGTTACGGAGTACCTATTATGGCTGCGGAGGACAAAAATAATATATAGGTTGAACAATATATATGGGAGCTATAGCTATATTTGAACCGATCTTCACCAAATTTGACATACTAGCCAAATTCCATCCTATTTGAACAAATATTAGACGTTTGGTGCACAATAAAAGGTAAATCGGACGAAGTTATATATGGAAGCTATATCCAAATCTGAACCGATCTCGATATAATTTAGGAAATGCATTTCTGAGCTGTGTTGGATATATTTCCCCAAATATTGTTGTTACAGAAGGCACATTACGGCTGCGGAGGACAAAAATAACAAATCTGAACCGATTTCGATCAAACTTGGCATACTTATTTTCAGGCCTAATTTGGTTGTATTTGCAAAATTCCATACTATTCGGACTAATATTACACCTTCGGTGCACAATAAAAGGCAAATCGGACGAAGATATATAAATTTTTACCGATTATCTCCAATTTCAATAGGGTTCGTCCTTGGGCCAAACAAATGATTTGTGCAAAATTTCATCTGGATAGGGCAATAAATGCGAACAAATACTTTGTTTACAAAAATACATGGACAGACAGACGGACGGACGGACATGCATAAATCGACTCAGAATGTGATTCTATGCAGATCATCAAAAGGAACTATGGGTCTATCTCGTTTCCTTTTGCCTGCTACAAACAAACAAATGCACAAAGACATAACACCCTGACCACCTTGTGGTGTAGGGTATAATAATGGGATATGTGAAATTTGCAGAGAACCGGATGTTTATTTCGGATTTTATGATCGTTTTGACCCTTTGTGGGGGAGGTACCAGAAGGAGTAGACCGATATTGGAGCAAAATCGAATGAACCTTTCTTTTTCTGTCCAGTAAAATATTTCCGTTGAAAATTTTAGCGTTTTGTGGGGGAGGTACCAGAAAGAATGGATCGATATTGCCGATCTCCGAACTCGATCTAAGCTTGACAATAATATTACGATGTACCAAGTTTGGATCAAATCGGATACTACCTTTTACAGTTATCGTGTGCACCAGCCAACCAGCCAGCCAGATAGACAGACAGACGGACATCTTTACATTGACTCCAAATGTCCTGAAACGTATTTGGTCCAAAGAGACCTAGGGTCAAAAACCGTTATTTTGATGAGGCACTTTTGGCCGTATCAAATGATATATACCCTCCGTAGCCATATGTCTGAGGGTATTAATATAAATATTTTAAAGTTATGCATTAGTCTCTCTACAGTTAACTCTTTTGAGCATTATTGTGACCCTAAATTGATCACAATTTTGCGTAGCAGCAAAACTTTCATCATTTTGGTAAAAAAAAATTCACAATGAGAATGAGTTCATTCGTACAGCTCTTCATTTTTACCAACTTAATTTGTACCTTCTATTAACAAACAATAATAATTGTTCAAATGTCAAACAATGACTCTTCGGATGACGCTCAAATTAAAAATTGCGTTCTAGTTGAGACAACTTTTATTTCAAGTTCGGGCTGGTCACTTGGCCGCCTATATCGTGCGATTTAACGCCTTAAGACTATTTTTTTGGGCATGATTGGTTTATTAAATACATGAAATCGACCGGAAATAAATATATATATATATATATATATATATATATATATATATATATATATATATATATATATATATGGAAATTTTCCAGAAAACCTGTTCAGCGATTTTTGAGTCTATAAATTACAAACAAACTACCAATCAAACGTACAAACATTTTCCTCTTTTATGGATATAGAATATGTCCATATAGAAATTTATTGGGCTTGGGAATTTCTCATTTTTATGTGCTTTTAAAATATTTCTTTTTGGGTTTTATTCATCATTATTTGGAAAAAATACTTTCAAACCACATAGTATGCTGTTTTCTCTACAGGAAAATACCTTAGAATCGGTAACCTCAATCAAATTATTCACATTGCAATTCTAAATACCACAATCTACTCTGACAAATACATTTTTAAATTTTTTTTTTTCAGAAAAAAAATGCTTTGTATTGATGTTATTTTGTGTCTTTATTGTTGTTATTATTATTATTTTTTTTTGTTTTCTTTGCAGTCCAGTGCAACAACTATGCAACGATGATTCATATTTGAGTCCCCTGTAGATGGACAATAAAACGTTTATGACAAGAGAAAGAGATACCCTTTCAAAGCTGCAATTAACCACAGGATGTGTGCATAGATGGAATAACGATGCTGGTGCTGATGGTGACAAGGATTAAAATAATTGCAATCAATCTTTATCCTTTTCCCCAAACTGCTGATGTATTCATAACTCAACTACCAATCTTCGGACGACAGGTGTTGTGCCTCCGATATAGGATACCATCATCATTTTTATTGCATCGCATTGCATTGGTATTTGTGTGTAATATATATAAGTGTAGATATGTATGATGTGTATATATTTTATGTATTTAAAAATTATATTTTTAAAATCTACGTAAATATCAATGTACGGGTTTTTTTCTCTATGTGTGTTTGTTTGTAGCCACATCATTTTAATTAAATTCCAAATAATTGGTGTCTCTTTAATTAAACAAAACTAGCAATTTGCATATCGAATTTGTGTTAAGTCAATAAGTTATTTTTTTTAGTCAACTGTAAATAATTCCCTTTTTAAACAGAATTTGTAGTTAACTATATATGTATATATGTTTTTGTGTACTTGTACTTGTTCTTGGTGACCTAAGGCAAACCAAAGAATCAATAAAAGACTTTTAATAATTTGAGACCTTCGTTTTTTTGCACATTTACCCATGGAAGAGTAAGTAGAAATTTTTGTAGTTTAATCGAAATAAAATTAAAGGAGTCCAGAGATCATATCCGGAAACCTGAGGATTAGGAACCCTCAAGATGGAAGCTGTAGGTACAAATCTTGCAGCACTTCCAATGTTAATACCCTACACCAGATAGTGGTAAGGGTATTATGACTTTGTGAATTTGTTTGTAGCATGGACAAGGAAGCGAGATAGACCCATAGTTATTTTTAAGGAACTTCTTAGGATCACTTTCTGAGTCGATTTATGCGTGTAAGTCCATCTGTCTATGTACAGGGTGAGATAAAAAACTGCAACAAAGCCAAACGCCAAAATTTTTACTTTTTTTTAATTTTATTAAATGAAAGCAAACAAATAAAAAAGCTGTAAGTTCGGCCGGGCCGAACTTTGAATACACTCCGCCATTTAGTACAAAATACAAAAATACCGAATGTAGCCGTATATTAGGATCTATACGACGACGTGGACCTGGATTGGCAATTTTTGTCATAAGCTATTACAATATTCAAATGCGAAACTTAAAAAAATCGGTGAATAATGTAGCTAAAATCATCAAAATACCAAATATAGGGAGGTACCATGGGGGGTTATAAAACGTGGACCTACACAGACAATTTTCTGGCATAGGCTGTAGTATTACGAACTTCAAATGCGAAATTTGAAACAAATTTGAAATTTGTAAATAATAGGGAGGTACCGTTATATGTAGTATTCATTATGAACTTTGAAACAATTCTGGTAAATAATGTCGCTAAAATCATCAAAATACCGAATATTGGGAGGTACCGTTACATGGGGGCTATACAATGACATGGACCTACATGGCCCATTTTCTGTCCTATGCTTTAGTATACATTACGAACTTCAAATACCAATTTTGAAACAATTCCGGTAAATAATAGAGAGGTACCGTTATATATAGTATTCATTACGAACTTTGAAACAATTCTGGTAAATAATGTCGCTAAAATCATCAAAATACCGAATATAGGGAGGTACCGTTATATGGGGGCTATACGAAGACGTGAACATGGCACATTTACAATACCAAAAGTCCTGCCGACATAATACACATTTGAGTATATTTTTATCAACTTACTTCATTTCGTTCGAAAGCATTGCTAAATCGACATAGAATTTTATGCTGATCAAGAATATATATACTTCGTGGGGTCTAAAATGTATATTATGAGGTGTTACAAACGGAATGACAAACTTAATATACCTTCCATACTATGGTGGAGGGTATAAAAATGTCGGAAATAGCATCAAATTTATAATAAGTTTATATTTTTTTCAAATTGGTCACCTTTGGCACAAATTATGACCTTCAAACGGCCAATGAAACCGTCACACGCTGCCCGAATGTTGTTCTGCGGTATTTTGGCCCATTCCCGGCGAAGCGCTTGCTTGAGGTGATCGACACTTTGGTATTTTTTAGTGCCAACCTTGCTTTCCAAAATACTCCAGACACAATAGGCCAACGGATTGGTATCCGGAGATTTTGGCGGCCATTGTGTGCTGGTCATGAAGCGAGGAATCTCATTTTGTAACCATTCTTGGGTGGCGCGTGCTGAGTGCGATGGTGCTGAGTCCTGTTGGAATGTCTAAGGTCTGCGGCCAATATGTTCAGCTCACGAGCCATTTTCGGCCACTGCGACGCGGATTTCGATTACGTGGCTTCTTTACTTTTCAAACCATTTCTGCTGATGGTACTGTTTTCTTCCGTCCATTTTCTTGACGTCGGGCTATGGTACCAGTATCACGGTAACGAGCGATGGTACGAGACACAAAAGATTTATTCACATATAATAATGTGCTGTCACTGGAATAATTTTAACAGCTGTCGGACGAGTGGCGTAGAAATAACAGCAGTCTGTAGTTGGTTGCAGTTTTTTCACTTCACCCTGGGTTTCACCAAATTTGACAAAAGTTCTTGCAGGCTAAATTGGGCTTGTGTTAATCATTTACAAAAAAATTAATAATATAAATGGGAGCCGAGCAGAAATATAAAAATACCTATTTGTTTGTACCCGTTATTAAAAGAAAATTTATCGTACACAAACCACATTTCTTTCGTTCAAAATATTTCATTTGTTTTATTTACATTCATGTATTAAATAAACATAATTTTTTCAATATTATATTCAAGACAAGAAAAGGGCCGTACCATAAATTATAAAGCATCGAATTGGTAATTAAAAAACTAACAAAATAACAAAACTTTGGACATAACTAGAAAGTAGGAATTTGCAGGTGCTAGCAACCATTGTATGGTTACTCCAGTGGGATTGTGTGTGTCCATTTGCATTGAGAATAGTGGGTGTATGTTGTATATTTTAAGATTTGTTGTAGTTTAAGCCCAATATACTGCGAGCCTGAAAGTAAAAACAAAAATGTGATCATTTAATGAAAATAAACACAGACAAAAATAAAGCATAATTTTAGGCATTTACTAAATATATAAATAATATGGATTTTTTAGAAACAAATAAACAAAGTTTGAATATTCAACTCCTTATTGTATAGAAGATTGTGTGTGAAATAGATTGATATCAAGTGTGTTGCTCATCCCAAAGACCCGTATATATCACTTGAATAAATAAAACGCAGAAACGCAAAGATAGAAATCAGAAGTACGCCGTTGGATGAATAAGAACTATATCGCATAGAAATATTATCAGTACTTTATAAAGAACATGTTCTATAGGTATTCTGGTGAATATATAATTCATGTGTCTTTTCTAAATATGTTGATATTTAGGATCATTCTGAATATGTCTTCGAAAATTAGAAAATAGATAAAATATAATATTGGTATCTTATATAGAATACTTCCAAAGATATCCAAAGAGATCTACCACAATTGTTTCGATACGAATTCTGAAGAAAGAAGAAGATAGTTTAAAGACCTCCTTAGGTTATGAATACGACCTTAAATGGACTATTTATCGATAAAAGGTGTTCTTATTTAACTTGTAGGGCTAGAAGAACGCATTAGCACCCAAAACGTTAGGTGGGCCATAGACACATTCAACCGGGCAAGACGACGTTATTCCCACCTATTACAGTATGTTTCGACGTCAATATCTCCAATTCCAATTGTCTGCTTATGCCACATCCCGGTACTATGGAGGGAAGTTACGGTTACTTACATAACAAAAGCAGGGAAACCGATCAGTCTTTCATCCTTCCTTTTGAAAACATTAGAAAGGCTGATCGACACAGAAATCACGACTGTCATCAGCACAGTTCAACATGCCTGCAGGGAATGTAAATCCGTTGAAACAGTGCAACACGATGTTGTAGGGTAAATTGAGAAAAGCACGAATGACCCCTTGTTCACCTTGGCAGCTTTTGGGAGTCTTCAACAATGTCACACTCGAATCCATTCATGGTTTCCTTTTACGACTTAGATCTTGAGCAAAATGGAACAAAGGTAGTCGCTAACGCCGATGATGCTGTCCTATTTATTGCTGGGAAATTCCTACAAACAATCACAGACCTGATGCAGGGAGCTCCAATCACCATAACAAGGTGGGCACGTTGCCATGGACTGGGCGTGAACACATCAAAGTCAGAGCTCGTTCTCTTAACGAGGAAACCTAAATGTCTTTCATTTATACTATGCTAGATGGGGCCACGCTAATCCTCTCCTCTGAAGCCAAATACCTCGGCACTATCCTCGACCGCCAACTAAACCACACATCATTATAAATGGGTGTATGAGTCAATTGTTCGCCCCATCGTATCCTATTGAGCTCTAGTCTGGTGGCATCCCTTGAAAAAGTCATCCTACTTGACAAAGTTCATTGACAAAATTCAAAGAGCCGACACCCTACTAATAACGGGTGCCTTCAAGAGCAAACATTAAGCTGCGAGGAACACCCTATTGTGCTTAATCCCATTAAGCATACGCGTAGACGAACAGGCAATTAGGTGTGCTCCTCGACTCAGAGAACTAAATCAATGGCGCTGTCAATCCTTTGGACATTCTGCGCTCTTAGGGCGTGTAAAGAATGTGGGAGTGAAGCCAACACAAGTGATAATATTTCCCCACGGTTGAGCTTTGACTCACCGGACATTTACATACTTGTCAGAGACACTTGGGCCAGTAGCAATACAACTTTCAAGCTTAGAAACGACTGTAGCGTGTTCCAGGCGGAAATCTTTGCGGTCAAAAAAGCCATAGACCTATTGGTCACGAGGAATAACGAGGTTAGCGGTCCAGTGACTATATAGGTATATACCCAGGCGGCACTGAAAGCTTTAAACTCCTTCACAATTAAGTCTAGAGCTGTTTTGGAATTCAGGAGATATTTGGAAAACACTGGGTTGTCCATCAAGCTCTATTGGGTTCCTGGTCATTACAATATTCCAGGTAACGATAAACCTTTCAGCGGAAATGTGCTTAGACTACGAAAAGAACAACTTTAAGCTGTGGATTACCAAGAAACTGGTAGACAATGACAATAGTGGACTGCATCCCCGTCAAATTCTGAGGGAACACACCTCTGAAGAATAATTCAGTAACTATTTCTACTACTACTACTATTTTTCTGTATCTAAAATCCTGCCCAAAAACGACGAAGTCAAAGAGCAGCCCTTAATGCTTTAAAGATCTCAATTTAACTTACTGTCGTAAAAGCTGAATTTAAAGATCTGTGGACGCCGGATGTTGTTCCGCCAATTTTCATAAGTGTCATTTGTAATTGCACAGCATCATCCATTCGATTTTCCAAGAATTCCCAGGTTTTTCGATGGTCCGGGGAGTGATCTTGTAGCATATACAGTTCTGTCATTTTCATAATACTTGCCAGGCCAATGCGGCGAGTGTACCAACCAATCTATTAAAGAAGGCAATTTAAAATGTATTCTAAAAAAAAATGAAGGTTACTTACATCCACTGAACGATCTCCCGAATAGTAACAAATATCATCGACTAGAGTTAG